GTGTTATATGGCTGTATATCGTCACTGGTGGAGTACTTAGGGACTCAAGCCAAAGCACGTCTCCTATTATTGCCAATATACAGCTATATCGCATCGTCTGCTACTCATGTGGTATTACTCAAATATATAACGTCATCGCATTGCAAGCAATTTTGACTTCTAAGCTAGGGAGATAAATATAAAACAATAAATATATTGTTTCATGATGTATCAGTACTCAGAAATACACCCTACTAGCATGCAATAACATGAAAATAGCATCATTTAAACATTTTGCATCCAGCAATAACACCAAGCTGCAGCTCTGACTCAGAAACCTCCCATTACATAACAGCAGGATAAGATGCGAGATGGGACGCCTTCCAATTTCATTTCCCTCCCCATTCTCTCTTTCTCTCTCTCTTTATAGGAAACATTTGTGAAATTTCCCTCGTTGGTTTGTATTTTGATTTTCACAGAGGGAGGTTTAATCTCCTTTTAGCCGTGTGATCAGCGGCCACCAGATGACAGATTTAAAGCGGAACATCGCCTGCGTAATACAGCCACGCTGACAGACAGACACAACAGAGCCCCATCTCTCTCCTACTTCTCTCCTCTCTAATTAAAGTACATTCACACTCAAAAACCCCTTGTGTTTCTGCATCACTGTTTGGAGGAAATGCTAAGACAAAAGAGAAACGCCAATCTCTTTGATATACAATATTCATGGCTCAACACGACGCCACCATGTTTGTTCATGTCATTGGTCAAAGTCAGTTGACATCATCATCAACCGTGTGAGGCGGTAAATGTGCATGAGTCACTCCATCCAGAAGGGGTTTTCCTCATCCAGGGGATTCAGTGACCTCAGCTTTCTTTGTCGAGTCTGCCTGTCACGTGGCCGTTTGCCTATCTAATGTTTTCGAGCGTCAGGGATCCCTCCGAGCCAAGAGAACAAATCAGCAACACACGCACACATGCTTTTGCTCATTTAGAAAATTCTCACAGCGGCCACAAGCTCAGTCAGCCGACTAGTGTCGTCTTGCCTGCTGTCGCCACATATGTGTAACGAGAGGAGGACGCTGCCATGTTCTTATGTTCGCCACGGTGAAACGAATCAAAGCCTTTGTTGTGTAATACAGCTGGATGCATGAATCTCATTCGGTTTCTCTTTATTCAGTTCATGAATTGCATTGGATTGCATAAGATTGACTGATAAATGTACGTTTGCTGTATGTTTGAGGTAAAATCGTGGCTTATTTGTGATATGAGGTAATATGACGTGGTAACCTCCCAGGCTCTGTCTGTGCATGTCTCATAATACATTGCTATTGCAATAAAAAATGTCTGTAATTCTTTTATTTTGTGTAATTGTCGTTTTATTCTGAAAAATACAGATGATATTTCCTTACAAACTTTAAATAAAATGTCATTTAGAATGCTTTTTGTGCATAAATTAAAAAAGAGCCATGTTTTTATTTTTAGACAACCACTTTTCGACTACAGAAGAACGGTGGAATAACCCTAATTTTCAATCACAGCAAATTAAAGCATTTGTTGTTCTGACCAATTGTCAACCTCTAAATGACAATATTTAAGCTTATCAGACCTTTAGAGAATAAAACAGATATTAACATATAACTCAAAGCTAAAATATCCAGTAAATCCAGACCTAAAATATTCATTAAACGCAGAGAAACTGAAAATTTCCCATTGTTTAGTATAAAAATAATATACTCGACACTATAATGATTGAAATCATGGAATATCCAATTACCAGGCAACTGAAATCGCGCCATCATCAGTATCAGATTCAGTGTTGGGTTGAATAATGAATGTAACATGTTCATCCATACTCAAGTAAGTAGTTCTTGGACTATCTAAGTTAAAGCCTATGTTTTGAGTTGTTTTCTTCATACATTATTTTAAATAATATGCATTATTCTGTTTATTTTTTTCAGGCAGAATTTCTAGCATTATGTAGCTACACACTGTGATTGCAATGCCAATTTTACAAAAATAAATAAATATATATACATACAGACAAATTCATACCAAATGTGTAAATGTAATATAAGCAGTCTAAAACATTTTCATAAATCTTAATTTTATTGGTAGATTTTTTATTATTATTTTAGTTGTTTAAACCAAAACAATATAATTATCTTATGGATCAAAAGTAGTATTCTATAACTATATCAAATTATATTATATCCAAGTTATATTATATCAATGCACTAACATTAACTTAGTATTAATTCAATGTACCACACAAGTCATTGTACCACTGTTCCAACTTCTATCATGTAAGTAATCTAAACACACAGATGAAGAGTTGTTCATTAAATACGGCAAGGTCTATAGTTGGTACACATTTATGATTGGGTGAAAGTTCAATTTACAAATTCAATTAACTTTCCTTGTCTTCTTGGATACAAGAAACAAGCACCCGTTTCATGTTAAATGAATGAGCACAGTTAATAGTATTAATCTGCAAAAATTAAATGCATTACGAATGTTCAAACTTAAAAGTATACAGTTAGATGTCATTTCATTATCTTTTCAGTTGCCTGTAAATTGTATAATACATGATTTCCATCCTTATAGTGTCTCAAGCATTTTATTTTGATACTAAACTATGCAAAATTCTCAGTTTCTCTGGATTTACTGGATATTTTTATTATGGGATTATTTGTTTTATTCTATAAAGGTCTGGTAACAAGCTCAAATGTTGTCATTTGGAGTTTTTTTATTCGTCTATTAAAATAATGACAATTGATCAAAATAACAAATGCTTTAATTTGATGTGATTGAAAATCTGTGTTATTCCACCTTCATTATGAAGAAAAAAGTGGTTGTCTAAAAATAAAAACATTGCATATTTTTTACATTTATGCACAAAAAGCATCTTTAAATAACAGAAAGCTACAGAAATAACAGCTTTGAAGATTAAACAAATCTTTCCATTATGATGAGTTTAATCCAATCAGGAAGATTCACACCAAAAAAGATAATATCAGAGGAAGGTAGAAGTGAATTCAGGATTCATATCATTCCATTTGTTTGGATTTGTAAATGTAAAAATTAAAGATATTCATTCCCAAAGTATGTTGCTTTTAGTACATTTAAAAAAAAGTTGGTTGTGTAATACTACACTACACGTGTTACTAGTATAAATAAAAATACATTTTTTATATTCACATACTTGTAGCATTCAGCTTACTATTACATTAGTGTTTAAAACAGACAAAAAGTGTGAAAGGTAACCAGTGTTTATATGGACCAGTTAGAATCCTGCATCCATATTTGGTGTTAATGTGGATCTTAAATTGACCTTAACCTTGAACTAGAGGTAACTGACCTAATGACCAACAGATACTGTGGATATAGAAGAGAGTAGAGTTCCCTCAGTTTCGTCCTTTAGTTATTACTCAAATTAACATTAACAAAGAGGAATAGATGTAAGGAAAAAATTAGGGAACATGTGGTGTGGCATATGATTCATGAAATATGCACAAAATATTCTGCCTATTCTAGTGATCACCTACTACAGTGTGTTTGACTCTCTGTCTTGGATTGAAAAGCATCATTTATGCATCATTCAGCTAAATACCAAATTATATGAAGGGGTTAAATGAAGACAATTTGTGTTATTTCATTTCAAGGCATTAACCAATTGAATTATTAGCCTAACGCAATAATGAGTTGAGTCTAGGTCAGTGATCAATGGGCTGTTAGCCATCTATAACCCAACCATGTACGACTAAAGGCCCGTTTACACTAATCCGTATTCGTTTTAAAACGGATAAGTTTTGCTACGGTTACACCATCCGTCCACGCCGGAGTTTTCGAGCGGCGAAAACGGAGCGTTTCGAAAACGCTGGAAAGGCCGTTTTTATTCTAAAACGCTGCTGCTCCGTCTTAGTGTGGATGGGGGAAAATGGAGACATCTGAAAACGAAGACGGGGCTGCAGACATTCCCCTATCTGATTGGGGCTTTTCCTCAATATTAAGTAGCCTACACACACAGTTCAGTCTCGCATCCTCTCCCTGTAAGTTCGGACTTCGCAAGTTTGATATGGAAAACAGACCCTCAAGGATATGTCCAGTAAAGCTTCAAAGGGAACAGTGTACTTTATAACCTTTTTCACATCATCCTGGCTACGTTGTTTCACTTTCTCAGCAATAAAACTAAAACATGATTTAAGTAACTGCCTACTTTCATTTTGATATTAACAACTTAACAGACAGCAGAAATGCTGAGGAGCCGTGCTGCATCTTCACTGTATGCATATTTATAATAAAACAGAGCCTATATAACATCACTGCCTCCTTTCATTTTCAATAAAAATACGAAACGTATTCTCTACTTTGCTAAATGTCAGTTTTAATAATCAATAATAGCCATTATGAAAGTATAACGCACAATAAGTTTATACATTACAGGAAATAAAGGCAACCGATCAGTCAATATACAGCAAGTACGTGGTTACATTAATTATAAACTTATCTTTGCGCTCAGCAAAAACACGTTACCTGTGAACAAGTAATCGATTAAAAAGACCAAAGTCAGGAAATATGTCGTTAGATATAGACAACAAGATTAATTAAATATCACGTTTAACAAATAAGTTTGGAGATGCTTGATGAGCAGTCCGACTCTCTCATCTGGCTCTCATCTGGGTAGAAATGCTGCAGCGCTTGCCCGAGAGTATTTGTGTGGTCACGTGATGTGCGTTTTCAGCGTTTTGGTGTGGACGGAGAGCAGTTTAGAAATGCTGGGTAAAACACTAGTGTGGACGCGGATCGTTTTCATTCTAAAACGCTGTTTTAAAACTAAAACGCACTAGTGTACACGGGGCCTAATTCGATTTCTAGTAGGTTTTATGGATTCTCACCCTTGGGTGTAACTGATCTTTTGAAAGTTCCACACATGAACCACCACAAACTGCGAGCATTCAAAATAGAATTATTTCATGTAGATTGATGCAGAACGGGAAAGTAATATTTAAGCAGCTTACCATTTGGGAGCTTGTGTTGATTCTCCAGAAGCCACAAAAAGAGTTTGGCAAAGTTGCAGTTGCATACCCAGGGGTTGCCTTCCAGTCGTATCACCCGCAAGGAAGGCAACTGGCTCAGCACTTCAACGTCCAGGCCAGAGAGAGCATTACTCTCAAGCTCAAGCTCTCGTAAGGAGGTGAGGCCCAAGAAGGCGTCCTTGCTGACCATATTTAAATATGGATTGTTCCCTAGCCGTAGCTTGATCAGACTACGGGACTCCCCAAATGTTCCAGAGGGGATCTCAGTCAAGTTGTTGCTCCCCAGGTCCAGATAGACCAGCCTGGAGGATGTGCTCAGAGTCCCAGGCTCCAGCCTCGTTAAAGAGTTATTCCTTAAATCCAAATAGACCAAATCACTGTAGAGAACCAGGAAATCAGAAGGGATCCAGGGAATCCAGTTGTTAGACAGAAGGAGTCTCCTCACGTCCAAAGGGATGGAGTCTGGAAGACGGGTGAGCCCTTGACCTGTGCAGTCCACGGTGTGATGGTCCGGACACAAGCAGCTGGATGGACAGTTGTACCCGCAAGATATCAAGGTAGAGGACAGCAAGGCAAGGAAAGGCTGAAGCCAGCGTACACATGAGAACATTGTCAAGAGGGTGCGAGGTGAAGGGGAGGTTTGGGGGGGATTAAGAGAGGGAGGTTTGGAGAAGGGTAAAGGAGAGGGGATGGGGTAAAAGGTCAGGGGGTGAGATACTAGGAAAGGGGACAGGGGTGCATCTGGAGATGACTAGAGTCAGGTTTGTCGTGAAGGCATCTTTCCTTGTCTCCTAGATTGCAATCTACAAAGGCTCGTGCAGCGAAAAGCAGCTACAAAAACACGGAGCTCTATTTTCCAGGAGATCATGTAGCAGGCAGTGTGGGTCGTGTGGCAAGCCGCTAGCTCTGAGCATGAAAGGGGAGGAGAGACAGCAATCGAGAGAATGTGGGGAAGGGAGAGAGAGAGAGAGAGAGTGAGAGAGACGGCTATGTGAGGGATTAGTAGAGGTAAACAGAGACGAGTGAACCACAGACTGGGAAGCGCTGGGGGCACCGAGAGGGGAGGGCAGTGTGACGTTAGAAGGGGAGGTGTAGCCCACTCGGTTAACCCACGGTTGAAAGGGAATTCTGGATTTTTTCACAATTAAATGTGTACCATGTAAGGATCCTTATCTTGGTCCAAACGTTTCTGCTCTTGAATAGGTGCAAGTCGTAACGTGGTGCTAATAGCACATTTGACCCAAGGCTGTAGTTGCAATTCTGAATGAATGAATAATGACTTGTTGGCAATAGTATTGACATCTCATGACATTCGGTTTCTTTTTGTTGTCCTTCAATTCAGTCACGTAGTGTCTGATTTTATATTATGGCTCCATTGCCATGGTGATGCATGTGACGATTAACATGGTGCTGTGTGCATGCAGATTACTGCCCTGAAAGTGAGAGATGGTGACTGTGAATAACTGTGTGAACCTCAGTGGAGAGGATTATTGCTGTCTATTGCATGCCACAGTACGAATCAAATATTGCACGCAAAACCTTCCCACCTCATCACAGCTAAACATTTCAATCGTGCTTGTTTATATTCTAAATGTAACAGCTGTCCCCAAAAATCTGTCTACATGCATCGTGAGGAATACAAAAAGGTTATGACAGTACCTCTTCTCTAGTGCGTCCATGAAAGCAGTCATTACTCATCTCTTTTCCAGCTGTTGTTGTTTATTTTTGTCGCTGTGTTCCGAATTCATGTTTACTCCTGTGCTGCTGTAAATCTCCAGGCAAACAGAACACATGCTGTGACCACAGACAGCTTTCCTCTTACATCACATGCACTGGAGAATGGCATGGCACTGCCCGGTGGAATTACACAATACTCCCATAGGTCAAATCCTAACCTTGACCTTTCTGGCAGGCATCACCAACAACAGAAAAAAAGAGACTTGCCTTTGACCTTTTCATGAGGCACATCTTTGAAAAACTTGTGTGAAAAGTAACTTCCCCTAGTGTCCCTGTAAAAGAAAGAAATGTCAAGTTCATTAGTGCAAAGAAAGAGGTAGGTACAGGATATCTTCTCAGTAGGGAATTTGACAGTGTCGGAAGTGCTGTGCAGATTTTCTATTAACAATTAAAGTCTGGCACATGAATTAATGATAAATATCATGAGCAGCACACTGTTTGACACAGTTGAGTAATCAATGGGACACAACAAGAAAGGTCACAAACAAAAGATAATGCTACTTACTGGGATCTAAATGTAGTTTGCATGCAAGAAAATAAAAGGATGGTAATCTGTGTGCCCTGCTTTGGAGGACATGAGTTGATTCCATGTCTTTTCACGGAACCATGTCAAGGAAGGTGTATGATGAGGCTTAGTGGAGCCTAGATTCTCTCACCAGGGTCTTTAAAACAGAAACATGAGATAATCCCATATACACATTTGAACACAGCCAGAAGTCTGCATGTCAGCCCCTCTCAAAAAAATAGAGCACCTGTCAGCCTCAACTGAGGACATGGTGACACACTTTTCTTCCAGGTGCATTCTAGGCCCTCATTCTAGATGATCCTCACCAACATGCCCAAGAGCAAGAGACTGTCACCTCTGTGAACCTATGCAATCCTGAGACAACTGGCGACAAAATAAATAGTTTGAGTTGGGGAAAAAAAGCACAGATAGTCACAAAATATGAATGTCTCGGAAACTAGGACACCCACTTGAATGCACAGCGTCGAAGTCCTAACTACATGGGATCAAGGAAACTGGGCCAAGTCATTAAAGCATTTTCAATCACAACAGTACTGGCAAATTGCATTCATGTAGATTTAAGCATACAGTAGTATAGGTAGAATAACATGGCAACGTATTAATACAGATTATAGGATTACTGGATTAATAATTCATTGTAGTTTTGGTGTGGTTTGTTGTGTTGCTAATTCCACTGGGATTAAACAGACACTGTTGTCCACCACAGCCAATGAACTGATGCTACAGTTATCAGATGGGCTTGACAGAGTTCGATCGTATTTCAAAGGTTAGCTGTTGATGCTACTTTACTTGACCTCGATTTGTCATGACCTCCTGGACAAAACTGGTGTACTCCAAGCCACCTAAAAGTATCCAGAACACTCTGCGCACTGATATTTATCATATAGTCACCTGCAAAAAGAAATTAATGTACAGTGAAAAGTACAACTAGTGGCACAGACAAAACCATCTGGTCAGAATTTGTACTCTACACAGTAGTACCCCAAATCACAGCCAAAAGCTTTCTAATCATTCTAACAGCTGGAGAAGCTGATTCCCCATCCACCACTTTTACACAGCTCACTAATTTGTTTGGTGTCCGGTTGACAGTGGAGGATGTCATCAAAACAAGACTAGGCTGAATAGATGGCAAGAGCGAGGCTTAAGTCTTCAGTTACGTTGGCAGCGCAGGTCAAATGGCTTTAGGGGGGAGTTATAGGCATTTCAAGAAACCTGATGATCACTGTAAGGAAGAGATCATAGTTATATGTAGGGATCAGTGTTACATTAAAGCATGTGACAGGTAATAAATAAAAAAATAACGTCAGAAAATACAATTCTCGTTTTGCAGCTTTTTGCTCCCTCTTGTGGTCTGGATCAGTACAGCATTTACAAACAAAATCTTTTAGACAAGAGGAATAAATAAACACATATGACATGATCCATGACACTGACCCTTGCTCCATATTTTATTGAAGAAAAACATAACGGGCCACAAATGTTCTTTCATAGAAAATAAACCAATAGCAATACTACAAATTATTCAACTGTAACATCATTCACAGGGTTACAGTTATGTACATTTATACAAAATCCAGAACCTCCTGCTTCACTCACAGTGTCATGGCGGACAGTACGGTGCGCATGATGCTTAATACAAATGAAAGTGTGTGCATACTTCTGTATGCGTTTAGATGGCCTAACCCACAGTTGTATATTCACAAAGAAATGGAGATTTTTATTAAATAGAAGGTGAAATTAAAAATTAAAAATGGGGAAAAACATATACATGATGGTATTTTCTAATATATTAACATATGTACAATGCTTTCATACAACCTTTCTGTCACCATTCTGTCCTCCATGTATAATTATAGTAATAAAAAACAAACAAGCAAAAAACTAAACTCATATGAGTCTGAATTAAATGTTTTCTAGATTCCCTTTACGAAGTTGATGCCTCAATAAATGTAACTATTAATTAAAAAGGGAAAAAGAAACGGTTTGGAGTAAGAAATGATGTTTAGAAAACATTGCTATTTCAGTTTTACATATTGGCTGACACTGAAAAATGTGAAATAAAATACAGATTTACTAAAATAACATGGCACATAACCCTTAACAGCAATGGGTTTGTCAGGCAAAGCTTTACAAAGGACTGACTTTAAAAGTCAGTGCGTCAGGAAGGAAAAGAAGCAAAGATGGATAAAATAGGTGGTGCTAGTGCTGAGAGAGATTAAAAACAAATAACATAAGATTCAGACTTTTTAGGAAAGTGAACAAGAGTCTCTATACATGTGTGTAAAGTGATAAGACACGGAAGACCAGTCAACAAATTGGTAGGAAGCACATTCATTTTAAGAGAGATGGTGTCACAGTGTCAACTCAACAACTATTTTGGGTTACAAATGTGCTGTGCTCCAGGAAGAAGCAATATTAGAACTGTAACTGGCTATTAACCAACACTGTACATACCAAAAAACAAGAAACAAGCAAGCGTGTATTTTGCAAAACTACTGTACAATACTGTTGAATATGTGCATGTTTAATGTAAAACAAATTATGGTCGAAGTCTTTTTTTTTTCTACTTAGTCCAAGCTCATACTGTCAAAATGACCTGTGCCATGCCACTAAAATTCAGATTAACTCCACAAAACTATATAAGGGAGAATCTTGATATTAAAATGCATTATGGAACATATCTTTCAGTAATCTTGAAGTCTTTTTTTAATGTGCCTTAAGCCACCTTCAAGTTTTCCTCTGATTCCTCAGTGTCATAAGCTGCTTGTTGTGTGTGTAGCAATTCCTCTGTGACAATAATGTGAAACTATTTTATGTGGATGTCAAAACTTCCATAAAAAGGTACAAAATAAGGCTAGAAAATGAAGTGAGGCCAGATCACTTGAACATGGAGACAGGGATATTTAAAGCATAAACCAGAAGTTTTATTTGATGTATTTCCAACAGAAATTTAAGTTTGAGTAGGGAGCTGGGCTTTCTTTACCTTATAGCAAACTAATGGGGGCATGGTTAAGAATTGTTCAATGAAAGAATAACAATGTAAATAACATTGACTTTGATTATTTGTGACTTCGAGTTACCTCAATGCTAAAAATATTTTAAGGCCAACTAGCTTTAGTGAAATTGAATGATGGGTATTACCATTGTGTTTGCTGATCATTGTTTTGGCTGATCTCTAGTTTGTAATGCTGTTACATATTATTCCGTTTGTTAATAGTTTAGAATGTATTTCTCCGATGGATAAGGTATGGACAATGACCATTGTACTACAGAATGTATGGAACAGGGATTCTGGATGAAACCCGGAGGCGCCACTAAATAAACACCAGAAGTGAAGTGTTAAAGCATCTTATTTTTAACTTGTGCAGAAAAGGAATGCAAGCATTTTCAGATGTTTCGTGAGGACTGATGAGCAACTTTTGAGAGATGAGAGTGTGAATGGAGAGCGCTTTTAAACAAAAAAATTGTCAATTACATCTGGAAGAATGTAGACGCATCCTAAAAAAGTAAACACTATAAAATAATTTCAAGACTCCAGAAAGTTGTAGATATTAATGCTCTTCAGTAAAACAATTAATTTACATGACTCTTCTAGATCTGCTAAATATGAATTATGGATAAAGAGGAACATGTTTATTCAACTTAAGAGCTTGGAATTATTATGGAAAAAATTATATTCTTTATTTTTCAATATTGAAAATAATAAACTCAAAGCCTATTGAGTTTTATAAGAGCTTTGACCTGTTTAACAGTTCCATAAATGGCACTTTTATGAACATGTATCCAAATATGTCTTAAAGTGAATTTAAAATAAAAATATCTTAAATTGTCAATGTTTTTGTATATTTTAAAGCTATTCAAGCCAGTTTAATGAGATTTTGCTTGGGCTATATAACTAATGTGTTAAACACTAGCCATGTTCATGCTTATTTGATGTTAGATAGTGGTTTGCCACAGCTCTTACAGCTAAAAGAAAATGGGATTAGCACCTATATTGTACCTAAGTTTCCATTATATATGTATATACATATATATTTATATACTGTATGTATATGCATTTTCCCAGAGATGGGTTGTGGCTGGAAGGGCATCCGCTGCATAAAAACGTGCTGGATAAGTTGGCAATTCATTCTGCTGTGGCGACCCCGAATTGATAAAGGGACTAAGCCGACAAGAAAATGAATGAATTAATAAATGTATATGCATATACACAAATCCAAGAAACTGTCATTAAAATATCAAAATGGTGAATACATAACATGAGATTAAAAAAGTGACCACTAAGGGACATTATAAATAAAGTAAACATACTGCCTGCACTTGAATTCTACCATCATGCGATGTGTGGAAATCCGACCATGTGCCTCTGATATGTTACAAGAACATCAGTAATACAACACTGGTGCATGATGAACATTAAAGGAAAGTAATAGTATTAAAAAATATCAAACAAATAAATAAAAACCATGAAGAAAATAAAAATTATTTTTCACACTTTGTACAAAAAAAAAAACAACATACTGGTTTGCTTTGTCTACTATTCACATAGGTGCATTTCTATAATAGTCCTCATGTTGTCAAGTGCTGCCACCTTAAAATCACATGGGTCATTCCTCATCATACATGAGTATCACACACATATAACCGTTTCTCCTTTTTTTCTTGCCATTAGTTCATAGTCCATTTCAGATGCACATTTACAAAAAATCTTAATACTGTATATATCCTGTCAGTACATTTCTGTTTGAGGACCAAACCATTTCAAAAAGTAAAGGGGCATACATGATCAAAAATTGGATTTGATTTTGATCAAGAGATTTAAGATTTACCTTTCCACTTACTGTGTGATAATGGCTACATTTACATGCATAAACAACATTTATATCCCTTTTATTCCTCATAGGGAAATGCTCAGGTTTTCCCAGTGTGACAGTACCATGGTAAAAGTAACTTTATTTTAATAGAAAACTCTGACACATTCTTCAAGCGCCTGCATTTTAATACTACAGTGAGTGCAATTTTTATTGTTTTAATGGACTTCCAATAGAAATACTATAATATTTACATTACATTTTTTCCAAATACAACTCCATTTTAGCTAAACTATTTTTAACAGGTGATTTGTAGCTGATCAAAAGCACATTTCATAATCTTATAATACATACTATATAACTTGCTTACAGTGTACAAAAATGTACATTTAATAAGCTTTTTTGATGCAAATATTTTTTTGGCAAAAATGCTACCTAATTTATTCTTAAGTGCATTAAAAAAACAAATAGCTATACTAACAATTTGAAAAGATATAATGGGCTTTAAAGTGGCTTACTGCCAAATATTTTTTTTCACACAATCAAAAGCATGGGTCTTTCAAAGTATACTCCATTTGAAAGTGTGTACTACACATACACACTAGAGTGGTTCATCCTTTTCTAGTGTCTGCATCTTTTCCCTCCAAAAAATGATAAGCAATAAGAATGTTTTATTTAATCCTCTTGCACAAGCCCTGATCATACTTTCAGGTATGGAGAGTGTTTAGGGCCAAAACATCTTTAAACAAACATGTGAAATTTGATTGTCAACTTACACAGTCTGACCATGGCTTAGTACTTGTAGACATTTAGTTTGATCATGTTGAGGCACCCATTTTTATGGAAGGTGATTTGATTGTTTATACCAATATACAAGGGATGTAATGATTTACAGTAAGCTGTTTCGAATACGTGATCATTAAAATCGGCTGGGATGTTACATGAATCACAATACAGTTCAGTATGTTTTGAACAGCAGGGACCGTTGTTTACTGCAAACTCACTTGACATGCACAATAGTGGCAAACAAGTAGTTTAAGAAGCGAACAGCTGAAGGCTGATTTATACTTCTGCGTCAAACACCGGCGTATGCTACGGCGCTGACGCATAGCCCTTCGCCGTGGCCGTCACTGACGTGCACCTCTCAAAAAATGTAACTACACGTCGCAACAACGCGTAGCGCAAGCTCTGTGATTGGTCGCCTTGGTAGCGCTGAACCCAATGTAGCGATTGTTTACAAGTGTCCCGTGAAGGAGCTCCTGATGGAAAGTTTTGTTTTGTGTTTACCTCATAGTTAAAGTTGCTGCACGTCCGCCGGTTGCTGCCTCAAAATGAGCGAGTTTGAGCCACTTGTACATCCCGGAAGTGTTCAGGAAAAGCAAAACAGCAGAGAAGAAACTCGACACAGAGGAACATTTACACCTCACTGCCAACTAGCGTTTCGGAAGTGTTAATGCAGACCAACAGAGACAGCGCGCAGAAGTATAAATGCACAGCCATGCGCGTTGCATGCGCCGTGGGTTACGCCGGTCACTTGACACAGAAGTATAAACCAGGCTTTAAAGCGACAACGAGTTTGTCATATTTTTCTGATGATTAAAATTTTTTCATTTATATTAGCATTTAGCTGATGTTTTTAACTAAAGAAACTCACACAAACCATAAACGCGCAGCCAGAACATCTGTAGGTTTGGTGCTGTTCGGTGTTCAACTGGCTCATTTCAATTGTGGTATTGATAGTTTCAGTCACGTAACCTGTGCGGCAACCTGGCAGAATTACATAGAAACGCAGCACAATCCAGTAATATTTCTAACTTCAAATATTTGGATCACACATATAAACAGAACAAAATAGATATGATCACCGTAACAATGTAAATTGTGGGCACTTGCAATCCATATTTTGCATCAGCAGCCTTTTTTTAGTCATTTATAAGCATCATGTCCCTGTCAGTGCTCCAATTCAGCGATGTTTACATCTATTTTGTGGATGTTCCTCAGTCATTTAGTTATTAGTGACGACGTTATGGCGCATACATACTCCTTACATATTAATAATATATTTTAGATTAATATTTGCTGGTACAGAAAATCTATTCATTCACTTCTGCAATTTGACTTGTATTTTAGTCTATACTTTAATTGCACTTAAACTGCGAGTTAAAATAGAAACTATATATAAAAAGCATACAGGTTATAGGAATAATAGATTGTTATGGGTCTATGATGCTACCAATTGGCAAAAATTGCATCAATTTTTCATTTCTGGCTGTTCTTTCTATAAAGGAATTCTGGAGAAGTACTGCCCTGACTTGTTTCACGTCATTTAGTAACATTTTATCTTATTGCACAATGATTATTTGGCTTTTTGGCGGTCAATGGGAATTAGTAATATTTTGTCTGTCACATGAAAACGATCAATTGAGGGTGGAAGAGAGTGCTGGATTTAACTCTCCACATCTATAATACAATCCCTGCTGGTGCTAAAATGAAGCATGTGACCTTTAGATAACAAGTCTAACTCTCTAACCATTAGGCCACAACTGATCAAATTTAATTGGCAGTTTATGAAGAGCTTGTTCTCTCATTCCCATAATAGCTCAGACATCGCTAATATGGCTGCTGGAAGAACAGACTTATGCACATATGCAAATATAGTCTCATTTTACTAGCTGTTTTATTTGTTGATGAATTAAAACAGTCAAACTATGCGTGTTGAAATTTAAATCTCATGTGTTTTGCTTAAAGATTTTGGCCCCAATGGCCTTCCATAGAATAATCATAAAAACAGAAGTGTACTTTGGGCTTAATACTGCAAAAAACACATAAAACTGGATCATAAATGTGCATGTAAATGCAGCCAGAATGATGTGTATAGACAGTTTTGGCCTTTGGAAAGACTTCAGCTTGCCTTCAGTGTGCTGGTGCTGTATTAAGACCATGATGGTCTTGTGGGGATTTGTTCTTCATCATCCCCATGGAAAGTGACTTCTGCTGGGCTTGCTGAGGGGGCGTCTTTCTGTGAAGAGGTCCGCTGGGGTCTGGGGTGTATAAACTGGTCCCCATCCTCCCCTTCTAAAAAAAAAATCAAACCTCCACTGACTGGATCTGGTTCATCTGGGCTCTCATCATCTGAACGCTATTGAGGATCTTCTTCTGGTGTCCTGCTAGTGTGACCCCCACTCTTAGGATATCACTACGAGGACAGAAAGCATAATGTCAAAGAATTATCTAAACAGACAAGGCTATTACTTAAACTTACAGTAACAGGATCTGGTTGTTTAATTTTCTAATTATTCTTTTTAATATGGTGGCCTGCATGGTAGACAGGGAAAACATACTCCATAGTCATCTGGGACACGGCTTCGAAGGTAGTGAGGTCTTCATTGGCAAAGTTCTCCTTGTACTGACTCATTTTGATAGCATCCAGCCATTCATCCACTGTGCTGAAGCTGGAGAAGTCTGGTGTGCTACGATCCAGCAGAGGTAGATGGACACTGTAAAACAAACACAATCAACATCACAACAATGAAACTAACATGATGTGTTTTTCTGCAGGCAAAAGGCCAAACTTCAAATGTTAAACACAACATTTCAGAAATTTGAAGCGTAATATTTTTGATAAAGCTCTCATTCATTCATTCGTTCATTCATTTTACTTCGGCTTAGTCTCTATTTCAGAGGTCGCCACAGGATGAACCACCAACTATTCCAGAATATGTTTTACAGATTCCCTTCCAGCTGCAACCCAGTTAGGCAAGGCAAGGCAATGACTTTAGTTTATTCAATTCACCTATATGTATCACCTATATCACTACATGTGTCAATAACAAGGCCCGCTGGCCAAACACGGCCAGTCAAAACATTTAATCAGGCTCGACAACAAGTTTGGTAATGAAGTTCATGTGGCCCGCACTCGCTTTAAATATAAGGTCTGTGACAATTACAATATTAAAGGGCACATAGGTTACCCCTTTTTTCATATTTATTATACTCCTACGTCAAGTTGCTTTAACGCTGCACGCATCATGTCTATGTTTGGGAGCACATGCTCATGTAAACAAATGTTCTCTATAATGAAGCTGACCAAAACATCCCACAGATCCCGCCTCACAGACAACTATATTATGCCTGTAATGAAAGTACCCATGGCATGGGACATTACACCTAGAATAGATGAGATTGTTTCTATGAAAAGATGCAGGGTGTCTGGTAGGAGTTTAAAAAATCCCTAATTTTCTTATGTAAGCCCATATAAGCCCAGTGCAAGTGTCCTTTGGAGCAAAATAATCTAAATAACACAATTTCTTACCATTTATTTTTTCATAGGTCACCATTTATGTATAATAACTTACTAATAAATATATTGCTTTATGTTTTTTCCCTCTGAAATGCACAAGTTCAGTTGTAGGCATCGGCAATTGACATGGGTCATTTCATGATAAGGTTGCCTTTTAAAGCTAAAAGAATAAGTTCAATAATACAATAGTAGAAACCATCAGTTGCTTGTTGAAATGTGGTATATCAGCTGTTGGCTTTTTGTTTTCTCATCAGTTTTTCTGAATATGAAATTGTTTTTAAAGTAAACTACTGTTCTATGCTAGCCTATTGTACTGTTTTATGCTTATATTGGTTAGAGGTCATATTTCATGTTTGGATGGAGATAAAAACCTGCTGACACACAAATGTGGTCCAAATTATAATGAAATATAAAACCTTACTATTTTGATAAATGTGGTTTAATGAAGTGTTATAGAGATGTTATATAGTTGTTAATACACTTTTATTTTCTCTATTAAATACATTTTAAAAGTGTGTATGTACGGCCCCTGACTTTATTCACAACACTCAGTGCGGCCCTTACCAAGTTTGGATTTGACACCCCTGACCTATACTATACCGCATGTCTTTAAACTGTGGGGGAAAACATGTAAATGCAATCATGGGGCAAACATGTAAACTCCACACAGAAATGCCAACTGACCCAGCCTGGACTAAAGTCAGTAACTTTCTTGCTGTGAGGCAACAGTGCTAACCCCTGAGCCACCGTGCCACACTAGAGCTCTCATATTCAGTAAGAATCTATACTATTATAAAATATTAGATTTTACATTTCTTTATGAATATATTTTACAATGTAATTTATTGATATGATGGCAAAGATGGATTATATACATCATTACTCTAGTCTTCAGAACCACATACTTATAAAATCATTATAATATTCTGATTTGCTCAACAAAGATTTCATAATATTATCAATATTATTCTATATTTTTTTGAAACCATGAAAGCTTTTGTTTGTATTTTCCTGATTAATAAGAAAGTCAAACAAACAACATTAATAGGAAACAGAAAAGTTTTAACTTTACAATTGTATTTCTTACTTTTTATTTAAAGCAAAAATATATACAAATTGTTATTGATAAATAATAGAGATGAATATTAAAATGAAGCTTTCTTGGTCTTATGGACAAGTGATAAAAAGTATTTTTAAACCTACAGTATATACAGTATCAGTTTGCAATACGTTCCACACAAATAACAATTTCAATTGAATTAAATTCCTGACACCAGAAGCTTATTTTGAGTATTTTGTTTTAATGGCAGCTTATGGACAAATGCTCAATAGGGCAGTTAAGTTATACTTTATAAATGATAGTTTAACAGTAGGTGTTACACTTCAGATTTAATTCAAATAAACCAGCTGTTTTCAATAAACTTTTGCATACAAATTTTTCTTCACTCTGAGAATCTCTTTTAAACTAATGTTAGTGCTAATGATACTGAGTTCAACTAATTTTATAGAGTACAGACTAATACATTCATATATGTACACAATAACAGAACTCAGTGTTTGCTTTCCTCTTCTGATCTGTGCTGACCCAAAATAAAATCCCTTACCCTGAAGAAAGCGGGGTAGTGGCCTTCAGGCTGCCAGGATTACGGATCATCTTATCCAAAGTGTTCACAATCTGACTGAATTTCGGACGGTTGTTCCTGTCCTTCTGCCAGCAGTCCAACATTAGCTGGTGCAGTGCGCTTGGACAGTCCATAGGAGGAGGTAACCTATAATCCTGTTCGATTGCATTTATTACCTGAAATGATAAATACAGAGATGACTGACTAAACGTTTAGTTTTTGCATGCCTTTGGTGTTTCATGACATCATTTGTCCACCAGAGGACAGCCTTATCCAGCTTTTCATAAAACCATCGTCTATTTTCATATAATTATATAAGAATTGACTGCATACATCTTGATTGCTCATGTCCCAGTACGGTCGCTCTCCATAGGACATGACCTCCCACATTACGATCCCATAGCTCCACACATCACTTGAGGATGTGAACTTTCTGTATTGAATGGCCTCAGGAGCCGTCCATCGTATTGGAATTTTCCCTCCCTGTGTAGACAGTTGATTTGGTTATGAACTGAACACACAATGCAATAGCGTGAAATCTTTGATAAGGCCAATTAAACACACTCTCACCAGGGCACTTGTGTATGTAGGATCAGATGTGTCATCTTCCAGGAAGCGGGAGAGCCCAAAGTCGGACACTTTGCAGACTAGATTGCTGTTAACCAGGATGTTGCGGGCAGCCAGATCACGATGTACGTAGTTCATGTCACAAAGGTATTTCATGCCAGCTGCAATGCCACGCAGCATGCCCACCAACTGAATGACAGTAAACTGCCCATCGTTTTGCTAAGAGGATAATAAAGAAATAAGAGAAATACATTAAAATTATCCAAATTGAAAGTATGCACATACATTCTTCTCTACGTCAAATTATTAGATGAGGCATTTTTAACAAAACATCTCTGTTCTGTGAGTTTGTGTCATGATCTTTTGGCAAAACATCTGGACTTTAGTCCAGCTGTGCCTCTCGGCAGACACATCTGGGCTCTGCCCAATGGGATCCTGGGTCAGCTAAAAGCGGCACAAGGACAAGTGCCTTTGTGAGCCAAAAAAGCTGAACTAATTTGTTTTTTGATAATGTTTAGGAAAAACCATTATTAGGTGACACAAATCTATATATACATGACCAAAAGAAACATTTTGCATGGTACAGTAACTCTTTGCCACCAGTGAATTTAACAAAAAGTTGCAAACCACCAGCAGCATTTTTGATCATTTTCACCTAAAGATATTTTCACCTCAGAATATTTTCTGCTATGAATATATAATATCCTAAATAAAAATAAAGAACAGAGACTCTGCTTTTAAACAAGCAAAACAGAAATACTATGACTGTAACAAAAAAAGAAAAAAAAAACGAAAAAAAACGTGAGAAGCGCATTTTCTTTTAAAAGTAGTGCATTGTCAAAATTATACATACACACACACACACCCACACACACACACACACAAAGGCTGGGAAAGAGTTAAAGGAAAAGTTCACCACAATTGTTTTATTTTGTCATCATTTACTCACCCTTTACTTGTTCCATAACAGTTTTGAGTTTTTAAGCACAAAAGATGATATTTTGAAATGGTGAAAACCTGTAACCAATGAAATTAAAAAATACTATGGAAGTCAATGGTTTTTATATATATATATATATATATATATATATATATATATATATATATATATATATATATATATATATATATATATATATATATATATATATATGAAGAGTTCGCAATGAAAATAACCCAATCTTTGCCATAAAAGAGAAATTACTGGATCAAGACGTACGGTAGGAGCCTAAAAAAAGCTCATATTAGAAGCAAATTTTCAGATAACACTTGAGGTTTTTGCATCAGAACTCTCTCTCTCTCTCTCTCTCTCTCTCTCTCTCTCTCTCTCTCTCTATATATATATATATATATATATATATATATATATATATATATATATATATATATATATATATATATATATACATATATATATAGATATATGGATTAAACAGAACTAAACAAATCTCAAACCGGTATGAAACAAGTAGAGTAAATTATTTTTCATTTCTGGGTGAGCAGAACATTTCAGAGAAGAACAATTCTCCACAAATCTGCTATTATTTTAGTTTTTCTCTTTTCATAATCATGATTCAATGCTACATGCACATAACAAAAGCTATTCATATTCTACATAGAGTGGGTTGCATCACGGTAGTAGCCATACTGATATTACATGACCAGTTGATTTTTACTGCCACTGGCCTATATCCCTTGTGTAATGAACTGATGGTCAACAAAAGTGAATTGTGTGTTTCTAAAAGCATCAGAAGCTAAAGCATTTATTGTGTGATACTGCATATACACCACTGGGTGTCAGTAAGTCCAAGACTATGTGCACTCACAATGTTGCAGTTGTTATTTAGTTGCAGCAACAGAAAATCATACCCGAAGGAATGAGTCCAGTGATCCATTCTCCATGAATTCAGTGATAATCATTACTGGAGTGCTCTTGGTCACCACTCCCTCCAGATGGATGATGTTGGGATGGTCAAACTGTCCCATGATGCTGGCTTCACTCAGGAAGTCCCGTCGCTGCTTTTCGGTGTAGCCTGATTTCAGAGTCTTGATGGCCACCAGAATCTCTCTCTTGCCAGGAAGCCTGAGATTTCCACTGCAAACTTCTCCAAACTCACCTGAAAAGTTTACCAAGTAGTTAAGACCGGTTGACCACACTTCAGGATATTAAATATGAAATTCAATTAGACGACAATGATTAAATTATCAGCCTGGTTTACCAAAACTTTGTTGCTCCTTTAACAATAATTAAAGGTGCAAATTCATCAAGAGCTTCAGGCCTTCGCTAGATTGCAGCTGCTTTCTAATTAACGCTTGATTTGCTTACATGCAGTCGACTGACTAGATGAGATGCTTAGATGCTGGATAGACTACAAATCAGCACTCAGTGCAATTCAGGCAGATTAAAATATTGCTAATTGACGTAAACAGTGACATTCACCTGCACCAATGACTTGCTCGATTTTTACACAGGTCACGTCTATTTCTTTTGCGAACTCCCGAACTGCTTCATTGGGATCCTCATATGTGAAAGGATCAATGTAGATCTTCATTCCTGGAGACACTTGGAAAGAGAAACAGGAGCTGCAGTTTATGCAAAGATACATACCACACAGCTTAAACTGTAATATTAGTGACTCTTGAGGGATGAAGGCACAACATTGTGCTAGCATAATGCTACAACATACAAGAAACATGCACATTAATGCTACCAATGTGCTACCCATGCTTACAACCTGCTAATTCCTTATTCCACAGTGTTAAAACATGCTAGCAGCATGCTTTACACTTCTTTAATCACAGTAGAAACATGGTAATTATGCTAAAAACATGATTAAAATGTGCAAGTTGGGCATAGGTTTATATTAAACATGCTAAACATGCTAAATGCATACTAAAAGTTAGCCATGTGCTAAAATATGCAAGCAACATAATAATTAATGCTAAAATTGTTAGAAATGTGCTAGCAACTTGCTAAAAAAGGTTGCCATTGGGTCAATAGCATAGGAAATATGCTTAAAACATGTTAAAAGGTGCTAGCATAATAGCATAATGCTAATGCTAGCATAAATATAAGTAAATATAAATATAAAATATTCTACCAACATCCTAAAACAATTACATGTTGTCAGCCAAATGTCTCAGACTCGATTCTTAGAGGGCCGCAGCTCTGCACAGTTTTGCTCCAAACCTAATCAAACACAGCTGATCCAAAGGGTTTAAGACTACTAGAGACTATTAAGCAAGTGTGAGTTGTAGTGGTTAAAGCTAAACTGTGCAGAACTGCATCCCTCCAGGAATTGAGTTTGAGACCATTGTAGTAAACCATGTTAGAAACATGCTAGAAATGCATCAATGTTAAATCATGTAACAATGTGCTAAAACATGCTCGCAATGTATACAAATGCTATACTACATGCTGAAACATATTAGCCATGTGCAAGAACTACTAGCAAAATAATAATTACTAGTAACTGTGCTAAAACATGCTTGCCAAGTTCTAAAACATGGTAGAAATGTGTTTAAACAAGCTAGAAATACAGTAAATTATTCATTCTTTTCTTTGAACATATTTATTCGCAATTATGAAGAAAAAAAAACATTGCAAAACAGTTATATAAGTATACATTCAATTTTAAAATAGTTTTTTAAAAACAATCTTGTTTTTTCCATCTACCAATATTTTTGTATATATAAATATAAATTATTTGCAAATATTATACTATTACTATTATCATTAATGATACTGAATTAGACTGTAAACAAACTAAATAAAGTTTGCTGATTTCTGACAATGCAAGCACTTCTGGCAGAGTACATGACGCGAATATGAATTGTGGTTTCTGCATGCATACGCAAAGTGAACTGATGTATTCTTTCAAAATACAATATGCCCTCAGATTGGATGCCATAATGGATACTGATATATTCCCCCCGTGTTATTGTGGTTGTGAATATGTGGTAATATTTGGTAAAATTCTTTCAAAAGCTGAGATGTTGTATTTGCTGTATACTAATATGCATTTCATTAATGTTTTCATTTAAAGAATCAAGTTGTGTTTAAAGAGATCAAGTTAATAGCACAAATGAAATAGCATGAGTGACTGAATGGTTTACTCACTGTGGCCGCTGGTGTAATGCTGGAGCTTGTCTGTGTATTCAGAGTCTGTTCTGTCACTGCCTCTCCTACACAAAAAAAAAAAAGTTATTCAGAAAAAAGATAGCTTTGAAGCTCTTTCTTGGTTTATTTATTTATAACAGGCTGTTTCTTATGTTGTAAGAGAAAGGGGAATAAAACATCTGGTCAGTTTTGTTTAATTGATTCCAGATTTTGATTGCTACATGTAACAGACTCACCGATTACAGACGATAATGAGCACAACCACAGCGATGAGGAAAACAACGCCAGCAGCAGCAGAGCCGATAATGAGAGGCAGTTTCTCCTGCAGACTGGAGTTATACTCCTCTTCAGGTGCACACATGACAAACACAACATCAGATCTGTCAGACAAATCCTTTAATCACTGAAGATCATACTGCCTTAATTAAACACACAAATCTGACTGCAGGCTTCAGCACATCTGATTGAAAGATCATAAAAATAGTTTTTCCAGCTTAAACCAAGGATAAACTTTAAATATGGAGATTCACATTTGAAATTCACAGGTATATTCATCCTTTATAAACGTTGAAAGAAAGACAAGAATGCATTCTGTACATAAAACACTATCATACAAATGTATTTTTTTAAATAGAACTCAATTTATTTGCATATTGTGATCAAAGATTGTAAAAACATTATTGCTGTTTTCTATTTTAATTTAGACTAATGGGGCGGTTGGATGTTTGATTTTGATCGGCTGATGAACATTCTAAGGTGTAGAGTTATTTTTCAGGGAGCTGCATAGCTATAGTACTTTAGTTGTCATAGCCTACAACAGTCAGACATCCAAAGTAAACCGATGGTTTTCAGATAACTACATACCAGGGTTTCTGCAGTAACAGGAATAATTTATATTATTTATAAAATTTCCCATTAATTATATTTTTTTAATGTTACCCTTACCCTTAAGCGTCTACCCTTACCCTAACCATAAATCCAACTGTCACAGTAATGTGAAATATCAATTATTGTTATACAGTGTCACTTATGCTATAAACTATGCTATATAGTTGTGCATATCCACAGCTGTATCCTATATAGACTTTACTGGACTCTGCAGGTTTCATCAAACCAAATTTAGGACATTTTTTAGACATTTAGGACATTAATCTTAAGACATTTAAAGACCATTTTGAAATAAATTACAGACTTATACAACATTTACATTTTGTACAAAATCGTATACAAAAGTATACAAAAATAATTATACAAATTTAATTAATTTCCTGTTTAAAACACAATACAACACAGTATTTCAGTATTTTTTTTATTTAGGAAATTTAAAACATTTTAAGACTTTATATTTGCTACTTAAGGAAACATTTCATCTTCTATTTGTTCTCCTGTTAAACAGTTTTTACTGCTATATATCAACCATTTTAAGTCTCTTTGTTATATTAAAGTGTTAATTTAATTAAAACTAAAGCACAATAAACTAACATTTACATCAGTTAATAAGATAACATTAAAGAGATTCTCAATTAACAATTCTGCCATCCTTTACTCACCCTTCACTTCAAAACCTATTATGAGTTTCTTTTTTCTGTTGAAGACAAAAGAAGATATTTTGAAAAATGTTGGTACAGCTAGAGACTTCCCCGGCAATTTTCCTCCTATAGTGGAAGTTAACGGGTCCCAGTAACCAGAATTCTTCAAAATACCTTCTTTTGTGTTCAACAGAAAAAAAGAAAACCACACAAGGGAGAGTAAATGATGAGGCAATTTACATTTTTGGGTAAACATTCCTTTTAAAATAACACTAATAACAACACTAACACCAACAAAAAATGCTGAATGTGATAATGTACTGTATTAGCAAACATTTCATGGAACTGAAGTAATGTGAACTAATAATGGAACAGCAGTATGTTTATTATGTTCAAGTTTATTGCTGTAGCAAACAAGTTGCTCACTGTTAGTTAACATTAATGCATTAACATATGAACTGAACTGACTTGATTTCTCTCCAACATTTCCGCTGCCACATTTTCGATTGCAGAGTTATTGAATTCTTAATTCTGAGTTGCTGACAAACTTGCTTAAGCTGTTGATTCATCTTCAGCGGCTGACTGTCAACACATCTTACATGCGTGACATTTTAATAATTATTTGTCAACAGTCAGTTTCTGGCTTTTTTCAGACATGCCATCAAATCTTTTAATGCCAGCTAAACACAAATAAATGAGTTTTCCAAGCTGCAAAATGTCCCATGCTGTCAAATGTTTCAAAAGTGAATGTGAGAGTGAAAGCGGCTACACGTTTCACACTACTATTGGGAATAAGCGGCATGCTGTAATGGCCTGGCCACTATCAGGTTTCTAGTTTTGACAGAGATCTAAAGATCAGCTAAAATGACTGAGGTTAAGGCATTTCAGTTACAGGCTAGCCGTGTTATTTGCTAGACTGCAACCTTTGACTTATTCACTAACTTATACAAATGTAATCAGACTATTTTTTAGGAATGCAGAAAGACAAAATCAATGTGTCTATTGTTGAAATCCAGTTAAAGTCAAAACCCAAAACAGTCACTGTCGGTCCTAAATGTGTGTTTATTTAAAGGATTTACTGAGAAACCAGGGAAATTGTTATTGCACATTTGCACACAACATATACTGTGTAGTTCTGAGTGTGTGCTATGGAGGTGAGTGGGCTTGACAAATCCCATGTAGGATACACTCTTTCCTCTGTTTATGGTGTTTTTCCACACAGGGGACAAGACGACTGCACTGTATTAAGGAGAGGATGAACGGGGACATGTATTGTGAGATATTGGGCTAAAACATGACAGATTTAGAAAAGATCTGTATGGAGGAGTGGGCCAAAATCCCACCTGCAGTGTGTGCAAACCTGGTGAGGACGAACAGGAACTTTTTGACCTCTGTAATTGTTAACGGTGGCTTCTATTAAACATTTTTGACTTAAGGGATCAAATACTTATTTAACACAGTAATTTACAAATAAATTGCTTAAAAAATCATACAATGTGATTTTTTTTTCAGATTCTGTCTATCACAGTGAAAATGCACCTATGGTGAAAATTCTAGATCCCTCAGTGATTTCAAGGTAGGAGATTTTGAAAAATCACAGGGTGATTAAATACTTATTGACCTCACTGTGTATATAGTTATATTTTCTATAGCTATAGTATTCATATCTACATTTTTGAATATTTTATATTTGTTCCTATTTTCTACAGCTACAAATTACATTGTTTCTATCTATTTTTTACAGTTTTTTATTATATAATTTTTTTAAACATTTTAGTAACTTTTTATTACATCCCATAATTTAGAATCTTTATTTATTAATTAGAGATTTAATTATAGAATTTCTATATATTAATATTATTTATTCATTTTTTTATATTTATTTATTAATGATAAATATTTTTAAAAGCTTATCTGTCAGAAATGATTTTGTGTGACATTTTATTCTTACACTTAAACAAAAGTAATCAGAATATGGTTTCAGAAAGCAGAACGACAAAATCAATGTCTCTAGTGTAAAAATCCAGTTAAAGTCCAATACCTTCAGTCATTGTCTGGAAGTACATTTTCCCACTGAAACGTCCGAAGCCTGCAACTGTTCGGGCCCGAACCTGAAACACGTAAATGGTGCCCGACTTCAGACCCCGGATCACTGCTGTGTTGGTCTGACTCCGCAGCAGAGATGAGTTTGACTCAACCGCATTCTAGATATGGAACAAATATTAGAGAACATTATGCAATATAATGATGTAAAATAAATAATAAATGATTACACATTTTAGGTGCAATGTCAATGATTAATTTGAATTATATTTAGTGATATTAAACTGTTAATAATTGCAATTCATGAATGATTTAAATCACAGCCAAAGTAGACTCCTACTCATGGTTTTGCGTACAGTAAGTGTGATGATCATTTTAACGAGTGCACTTTCAATTCCTTTTTCACCATAAAGTTATCTGTGATGTGTATATTGAAAACCAGAACATTATTTAACAATCAAAATGAAATGGAGATGAAACAATAACTACTCAAGACTACAAAAACAGCAAACAGACAAGTGACTGTTTGTGCAAGCATATGAAGTATGAAGTAGCCTACAAGGTGTAAAATAAATTAAAATAAAATACAAATTAAAAAAAGTCAAATTTTGAGCTAAATTTCATAGAGTACAATTAGCACGTTTTCCTTTTATTCCCCTTCATTTGAAACAAGCAGCAAAATACAGTCCAATGTGATTTACCGTATATGACACATAACAACTTGTAAACAACGCACACCTTTGGATTTGTGATATTTTTAGCATATTTACGTTTTAGATTCAGCGCTGGTTTCAGTTTCAGTTTTGATAAATTCATTTGATCTATAAACATTGTAAATTTTGTCAAGGAAATAAGAATTTAAATATCTGTTGCCTGTGGCGTAAAAAAAAAACAGAAACTTTTACAGGATTTCCATGCCAGTAATGTGACTGAAAACCGAATGCATGCATGATCTGCTTATCTATTGAAGGAACAGCAGAATGTAGTGGTTCGACAGTTTCTAACAACAAACATTAATTTTGGTTAGATTTCATCTTTTTGACTACGTCTCCATCTAGACTACATCTTCATTTCATCTTAGTCTTGGAAAAAAAGGTCAGTAACAAACCTTTCATCCTTGTTTACATTAGCGAAATGAACACTTCTATATGTCCATTTGGTTTATAGTAAACACCACATGCTAGTTTTTCTGCTCTGAATGTGTGTAAATATAAATGATTTACTGTGGAACAAGAGAATGTTTATAAACATTTTTACTTATTTAATGCTAATGTAACCTATTTTTTTCTAAATCAAATGATTAAATGTGTCTTATTAAATACTAATATAGCGTATCTGACTATTTCTTAAGCTGATTTGACATTAAAGTGTGACTTAAAATAATTTAAATAATAGAATTGGAACTTTGTTGGGACTTCATAGTACACAGAAATCTAGAACACATCACAGATTGGAAATTGATTTGAGTGTTATTCTTTTAATCTATCATTCTTTCGTGTAGAGGATTTAATTTATTTCTTTATTTCTTTGAAGTGACTTCATCAGGGGATCACAAGCCCTGCATGTGGTCTGATGCACTGCTTGTGGCCTGACTTCAAATTGCACTCAGTTTTCCATCAAACATCACAAACTAAATTCATTAAAGAACAACAAATTCATACCAACGTGCATAATTTGTTGCTAAACAATGTTTTATTTTCAAGGTCAGTGAATGTTTTCTTTTTTGAGAGAAAAGTTGTATGTTGGTACAGTATGTCAGGAAGCATTACCTTCTCGTAGTACTGCAGCTCATAGTCCAAAATGACTCCGTTGGGCTGGTCAGGCTGGGACCAGGACAATGTTATACTGTCCACAGCCCTGCTGACCTGATGCATGATTGACACAGCAGATGGAGCTGTAGAGAGGATGATGAAACAATGGAAACACACGAGAAATGAGTAAGAAAAGATGAGTTATTTATAATATTTCATATATATTTTTTAAATAAGCTCAAAATAAAGATTACAGTAGACTGGTTTTCAATTCTGACACATGATCTTAGTCTTAATCTAAAGACAGAACAGTGTAAAATAAAGACACTTTATAATGACTTTTATCATAAATACAATGTTCAATAAGTTTCCCTTAAAATAAAGTATTTTAAACATTAAACAATATATTACATTATTATATATTACACACTATTTTAATTTTTCTATATATATGTTTTTTTCAGATGTCAGTTTGTTTTTTATTAAAATAAATGTCATTGTTTAGTGAGTATACTGTAATCAAACATTGAATTAAAAATATTAATTTGTTCTTGCAGAAGTTCAAACATGCAGCATGACATGCAAGAATGAACCTCAGTGGTTTTTGCATATCAAGCAAGCATGCTGGTATGATCCAGTGGTTAAAAAAAAAATCCTTTACTTTATTTAATATGTGTAAATATAAATATTTTGACATTTTTTACATTTACATCTAGTTTTTTCATCCCATAAAGTGATGGTGTCTCTTCATAAGTCTTGGATTAAACTGCTTGGTGATTCCTATGTATTCATTACTTAGTTTAATAGACTTTCAATGTATAGAATTTTCCCAGATCTAATTACACATCTTTTTTGTGTTCAAAATATGAACTATTTTTTGGACTTTGAACCGATTTAAGAATAGCAGTGAGTATAGGATACAATAGAGTGAGTAAAGGATATTTATTTTGGGGTAAACTGAACACTAAAGTTAAAAATCACTTCATTAAATCGAGCTATGAAAATTAAAATGTTCCAGATATGTTTATTATTTAGAGAAACTAAAACTTTTATTTACTAAGAATGCAATAAATGAATAAAGTGTGAATGAGTAATGTTGTATTTCAAATAAATTCAGATTTTTTCAACTTTCGATTAAGTAAAGAATCCTGGAAATAAACTGTATCAGGTTTCACAAATGTTTGAAGAAGCAACTGTTTTCAACACCGATACAAATAAATGTTTCTTGAGCAGCAGATCCTCATTTTAGAATGATTTCTGAATGATAATGTGACACTGCTTGACACGGCTTGAATAATGTTGCTGAATGTTTAGTTTTGCAATGTGAGAAATAAAATACATTTTCCCCGTTACAATACCGTTGCCATTACTGACAATAAAATGTGTGTTACTCTAGGTGAGAACACTGCTGAATCAGTTTTTTATGCGAGCAGCATCTCTTAGCCAAAGGATATCAGTGGTGATGATTGGTGTGTCTGTGAACGTGGTGTAACTGAGAAAGTGATTGGCTAAGATACAGTAAATTTACATCATTTGCCAATCAGAGGCAGAGTAGGGAGGTATTCACACACAAGCACATGCACAGTCAGTTGCACACATCAACAACCAGAAGTCAGAACAATGGCAAATTCAACAAGTTCAAAGGTGCATTTGCAAATTGGAAATACAAGCACTACTTTTTCCTCACTGAACTGAAAGGCAAGAATGTATCATTTATGTATCGTGCAACTTCTGCCGAGGGAAAAAAGTCTCTTTGCGTCGATGACAATCTAATGAAGCACCCCGCATCATCACATGCCACCACAAAAATATAAAATATATATAATAAAAAAAAAAAAAAAAAATATATATATATATATATATATATACAGTAAAAATTATTATTATTATTATTAGTAGTTTGTTTGGTATATTTAATATTTTATTGAGAGCACTTCTCGTTAAAGTGTTTACTTTTGTGAGCATCTACCTACCTACAGTACATCTACCTGTACCAGTTTCATGATTGTCATTTGCATAATTCATATACAAAGACAGTATGTATATTAATAATACTATTATTATTTGTTTTTGTTTAGTAGAAGAACAATTTATATTTAGACTTGTTTGTTGACAGGTTTTGTGAGTTGTGGCCTGAGCAATAAATACTTAAAGTTTTCAACTATCTATTGTGTTTTATTGTGCAACTATAGTACAGATAACATTAATAAAATTATATTGAATTTGATGGTTGTCACTCACATTTTCCCACAACAACATTAAAACATTTTAGATTAGTGTTCAATGTTTTATGTTTATTTTATAGTCATTTGACAAACATAACTATATTTCAGTGATTCGGTTACTATTTGTGAGAAGTAACTAGTAACTATAACCACTTACTTTTTAAAGTAACGTACCCAACACTGTGGTCACGTGTAAGACCTCCTTCAAAAACAAAAACCGTACCCACCCCAAACTTCTAAGCTTTATATTTCTCCTCAACAGAACCCCTGGAGTACCTTCAAAAGGCTTCTTGATAATGAATGACGAGAGTTCACTATATTTGACATCTGGAAGAGCATACAAATTTCTCCCAAAGCACAACAGGCCTTTCCGACCAGGCATGAAGTCTATACTTCTGAAGCGACTGCTCAAATGCTAACTGGCTACTCCATCCGTAGCACTCTCAGTTCCCTGGCACCCGCGCAAACGTTGGATATAGAGAAGCCATTATATCAACAGCAGCTTCAGGCTGACTACTAACTGGAAAAAAGACTCTGGAAGCCCATGTAACACTTCATTATCATTTACAAGCTGAAAGAAGTAAAAAGACAAGCGCAAAAGCTGGCAAACGCCATGGCTGCTGGTAAAATTGCACTTGTGGTTTAAAGATCAAACAAATCACGGTGCCTTAAAGCCAATCAGTGGGTTTAGATTAGTAGCAGCAGAGGCGGCAGAGCACAGGAAGTTTTGCTGCTGGCATGCTTGCTTGGGTTTGCATTGAGGAAAGTGATTTTGTTTAAACGCCAAACACCGATTCCCTGGACAAGCGCGATAAAATATAATAGGTAAGACAATATCTTGGCATTTTAAAACCATTTTAATCATGCTTTGACACTGATACTCGTTCGCATGTGCCATCTCTCTGCGTAATGGCCCAAAGAAAGATGTGTTATGCGTTATATTATTTATAGCTGGCATAAAGTTGATGCTTGATTGCTCAGAGTTTGAGGCCTCAGGTTGTTATACACAATGATTTTGAACACGAAATGCTGAGTAAAATATAGGCCTCGTGCTATTTAGTTCCTCTGTAAACTTCGATCCAGAGTTTTGATGAAGTGTTTTTCCGTGTGCTGCTTTGGACAGGCAGAGCAGGACGCTTGTCTTGATTTACAGCAATGAATGTTGAGACGGTGCGTGAGGATGATGGGATTGTTGAGAAGTTGAGCGTGTCGTTGTGTATGTTGGAGGAGTTTGTCCAAACAACACCAGGGAAGACAGATGTCATTAGACTAACACTCCAAATAGGAAGACGAAGCATTCTAAGCAAGCACAAAACTAAGTTCCTTGGATGCAAGTGACATTTTAAACCCCATTATATGCAATAAATTGATGACAGTCTGGGGCATTGTCAAAAATAAGTCAGATTGTCAATATTAAATCACCCTCAGGTCTTCAGAAAGTTTACGATGTGTGATGTTGTGGTGCTTGCATGTAGTCCTTTTTTAAAAATAAAGAAGTTTAACAGAATGTTCAAGCTGCTCCTTTACGTGAGATGAAAATAGGTGGTGAAAATGAAATTTCAATTTTGCCTCTATTATATGGCTGTACAGTATGTTGACTTTAAATGTCTCATTTGTGGCTCCTAAACTATGGAATAGACTTCCTGATAATGTCCGAGGCTCAAACAAACTCTCTCAGTTCAAAACTAGATTTAAGACTTATCTTTTTAGTAAACATACATACAATGCATCACATAACAGTTTAATGCATGAGTGTGCTCCATGCAGGTGAGTGGGATTGACAATCCAACTGTGGTACACATTCCTTGATGCACCAGCGATTTTGTCAGAAATACTTCAATGTGTTTCTATGTTTGTTTATATATCTCCTATTTTCATTTATAGCACTTTATTTTGGCATTGAAATTTAATATACCTTGTTTAAATTCATTATGAACAGCAGCTACAACAATTTTTTTCTTTTTTATTTATTTCCACCTGGGGATGCCCGTCCTGAGGCCTCTAGAGATTGCGCAGTGCCATTGACTGGATCCAAGACCTGTGAAGAAGATCTGATGCCAACCATTGAGGACCTCAAGGACAACACATATGGAGGGATGATGCTAACCATCATGGACTTCCAGGATCACACTTCCACATCACATGTATGCAATAAAATTGCAGTTTAACTATGTCTGTATATAATAACTTATATTTGATAGAAACCTTAATTTAATTTAATTGTAATGCAACAATGTGCACTGTTTGTAATTTTTGCAAAAGGCACTATACAAATCAACTTGAATTAAATTGAAAAGTAGTGCTTTTTAGTGCTCCTGGTCATTCTTTTTTCTAGATGAGATTTCTCCTTTATTGTGCCAGAGATAAACAGAGCTTTTGAGTAAAAAGTTATACATTTCTAAAAAGACCACACAAGACTTTCTTTTAACTCTCATAAGGCGTTTGGCTCATTTCAGGTGTTTTGATCCTGAACACATACATAAAAACTGCAAGGGTTTTATGATGCTCATAATACATAATTTATTATTATTGTTATTGTTATTATTATTATTATTATTATTATTATTATTATTATTATTATGACATTTAGCTATATTTTGCACCATACTGATATACATATATTTCTACAGTTATATAAAAGGGACATGTTTCAGCTTTGGGTCATTTTGAATATGTATGAAGCACCATAACATGTCAAAATACATTTGGTTTGTTTATAAACTATGATATTACTTTAGTGCATTTAGTTTTACAACATTTTTTTCCTTTTTTTTCATATCTCTTACACTTTTTCAACTGAATTTTGTTGATAAACACATATGTACACCTAATGACAAACTATTGCAGCATGACATATTGATAACCTATTAATCATTATTTTGTTTGAAAACATTTAAGAGCAATATTCAAGTTGTTTT